ACCCTAGCTGCACCTCGCCCCCGTCCCGTCCCCTCCCCTGGACATTCCCATGCAGTGGGGAGGGGTAATTCCCTACTGTGGGCCGTGCAGTTGCCGGGAACACTGTGAAAATATTTCCGAGCATATCGTATGATAATTTTCCGACGCATCGGTATCGGCAGTTGCCGAGCACACTGTCAAAATATTTCCGAGCATATCGTATGCTGATTTTCCGACGCATCGGCATCGGCAGTTGCCGAGCACACTGTCAAAATATTTCCGAGCATATCGTATGCTGATTTTCCGACGCATCGGCATCGGCATTTTTCCGACGCTGCCGTCGGAAAAAGTCCGACCTCGCGAGCCTCGGAATTTTCCCCCCCTCAAGGTTGGAAAAAGTACGACGTCAGGGCTGGGTCGGTCGGACCCGAGCCGAACCTGGGAAAAATCCTACCACATTTTTTTTTCCACCGTCATCCTTGGATTTTCCCAACCTTCCGATTAACAGTGCATCATGGGGATTATTTGCCAACAACGATTACGATGCGATGCGCCGGCGGGCCGGGCCGGGCCGGCGGGCCACCCTGCCTGCGACTCGGCTCTGCACCCCACGCTGGGCTGGGCTCAAGGTACAATATTGCACACATAAGGATGAGAGTTTTGAAGTTTGTGAAAAAAATCCAAGTGTGCGACTGTGGCACACTAAATCCTTAAGCATTGTGTTTTGCATAAACATGGATAATTTTATACAGCGATAATATTATGCAAAATTTGACGCATAACTATGTACAGTTTGTGCATAAGTATGCTCAATTTGTACATAATTATGCACAATCAAATGCATAATGGTTTAGAGCTTTAGAGTGTGCACTGCACAGCTGCCCGGAGGTGAACGGATTAAGAAGGCATTTCGGTAAAGCTGAGTACCCAGCACATACCATGACTGCAAACCAAAACATCTTATTGGGGTCGCTTACAGATGCAGGGGAAAAATCGACGAAAAATGATGCAAGCTGTATCGTACACACCTATGAGTGGAGCGAGTAGGCAAACCCGCGAACTGTGTCGTAGAGCTGACAGAACGGTACAGGGTGTCCCATGTACAAGGGGGGACTTTTGCGCCACTTACATCGCTTCGTCGTGGAGAACTAAGTCCTTTTTCTAGATTTCGCACAGATTTGGCTCGTCTGCTCATCTCAACCATGTCCTTGGGCTCAACAACGCGAGAGTAATGTGAGCTAGCTATTGTTTTTCTTTTTCGAGTGAGTAATTTTAGCACACTTTTTAAGGACGACGAGCACTGGAGAGCGTATGTTGTGGTTCTTCACCAGCGATGTATTATTCCTCGTATTTCCCTCTTCCTCTTCCCGCCATGTTTTGATTCTTAGCCCTTGCTTCCCTTTTCATTTACTCTTCCCCCGACCAGAATCCTGCCGCGTAACGCAGAGGGCAACGCACAAATCACTCATTAAAACAACAACAACAACAACAACTCGAACACACGCACATACACACACAGGTAGCAAGGTGCACAGCAGATGCGCCCTGGCGGTGCACCTGTCCAACTTCCCCCACCCGCCTCCCTCGCTCCCCCGAGGCTGCTGAGGGCCACAGCCTCGGCCACAGCGCGGCGAGCGGCAGAGAGCGGCGTGCCATTACTTCCTCCCACCACCTGCACGTTGTCAACACGCGGGGTCCCCAATTTTAACCCCGCACTTTTGCTTCAAAAAGCTATCAAGCTGCCAGCGGACTCATACAATCGACCTGGTGTCAGTCTGTTTGTCTGTACCTTCTACCAACTGGAAGGACTCAAGGGCGAGGAAGGACTTGAGTTTTTAAGGTGTCTTTGGGGTCACTCCTGGACACCGAAACGAGTGGTACCTGGAGCACCCCTCAAGGAATGAAAGAGGCTGTTAAAGAAAAAGGAGAAGCGTCCAAAAAGTGGAAAAGGTAATATTTTTTATGGCTTTGTAAAAGGTAAAACTCGTCAGTTGTTTAAACGTGACAATATTGACTCGGTCGTATTACTATAATTCAGGAATGGGCCGTGAATTTTTACAAATTAATTAGAGGACTGTTAGACGCATCATGACAGATTATTCATAATACGAAGCAAAGCTTCATAATAAAGGGGTAAAGGCATTCCTCTTTCTCTTTTGGCCGAGGTACACTATATATTCCTCCTTTTGTTTGCGTATCATTACGCCTCTACTTCCCGAAACCTCAGCGTGTTTCTCGAGAGGTAGCCCTCAATTATCAAGGATCACAAGTTCAACACGCCCTCGAACCCCTCTCACCTCCTGCGGCCCTCCGGGCCCCAGGGTGCTGCTCGGCGCTGCGGAGAATTATAGGTGGCGCGGGTGTGTCGGGTGCGGAGCATTGGGGTGTAATCTGTCTTCCGGAAGAGAAGACACCGGGGTGCATATGGAGCTCGAGCGCGCCCGTTGTGATTGTAATCCAGTTTCTCCTCCGCGTCGTGCTGGTGAGGATGTGTGCAGTCTTTTACTCCCTTATTTTTCTTTTCGTCTGCAAACTGAAAGTGCAGGGGTGAAGCGCGTCGACTTCGTCGCTCTATTTGAGTGACGATTTTGGAACACTGCTCTATTTGCATGATAAGGTGTGACATGTCATATACACATGACCCAATCCTTCAAAGCTTCACAAGAGACAGTCAGTGCACTGTTTTTAAAATACCTTGACACGTGCATAATTTGCTAAATGCAGTATGCAGTGGAGCGGCATGTGGTGTGATGCACGGATGCACGCGAGTGCGGAAGCGTGCGTGCGTGCGTGCGTGTGTGTGTGTGTGTGTGAGAGAGAGAGAGAGAGAGAGAGAGAGAGAGAGAAGGGGGGGGGGGGGCTGAATATGGTCGCTTCATTGAACCACCCGCTTTGCGTATCTATTTCGTAGCGTGTCTTGTCTTGTCTATCGCCAACTTACGGTGGTGTCCATGAGAGAAAGTAAGAGAGGTAATTAACGTGTCTACTTTGAATATCTCGAGCCGCAATCTACAACTACAGACGGTGTTTGTTTTACTGCTCGAAGCGCCGCCTCCTCATCGGCCCGTTCCTCCGTTCTTGAACTTCCCGCGCTTCTCCGCGAGAGCCGCTGCCACGCGGTTGGGCCTTGCGCCGCTAGATGGCGCGCGGAGCACTCTCCAGAGCCCACGCTGCCACGCCCGACCCAATGTGACGCGGTCTGACGGACCCCAGCTGGATGGAACCCAGTATTGAAGTAAATTTGTCGGTTTTGGAACGAAATATTTTATACATCGGTACGACAAGAAGGGCAAAAACGCAGCACTGACACTAATTGAACCGTTGTTTCGTCACCTGGCTGCTGGCTGTTCAAACACCCAGAAAAAGAAAAAGTTGCAGCAGCCAGCGTATGTTTACCGCAGGCACAACCATAACATACGGTTGAGGCAACAACAGCACAGGTGTATCAACCAAGAATACGGTTTTCACCACTCGCGGCTAGGCCCTAATTTGATAGGCCCCCGGACGGGCGCTAGCCAGACGGCATGCAGGTGCAGAGGCGTAGGCGCCAGGCGGCAACCCGCAGCAGCACGGCAGCACAACCACCGCCGCCGGGCAATGCAGAAAACTCCCGCGAATCCAAATATGCGCTCAGAATTGTCGAGCGACACAAATTATAACCGCAAATCTGTTCCCCATTGCTCAGTAAGCATGATAGCAGAAGGGCACCCTCCTCTCATGTCACAGGGAGCGCTGCCGGGCCGGGCGGCAGAGAGTATCAGTCTCCAGAGCGCCCTTCTTGGCGCATCATCGCCTGGTGTTCGCAGGCAGGGCCCTCAAGGAGTTGTGTTGTTGGACTCTGGAGTGACCGTATGGGCTGCTGTTCAGTCCTCACTGACCGCTTACCCCTCACCGAGGGCCACTACCCTCACCCCACCCCCAACGAGTGAGCCAGCCGCGCCCCCTGCCCCGCACAACATAAAAGTCGTCAAACCGCGTCAAGCACAGACGAAAAGGGCACCAAGGAAGCGGAGTCCTCATCCCTCTGTACTTTACGACTGGGCGCGTACAATGCGTTTGGCCCCTGAATACCTGGGCCTTGGACAACAACAAGGGAGGGAAGGCAAGTACCGCAAGCAGTAAAGTCGGAGGCGGAGAGGGGAAAGTGAGGAGGGGAGGGGGGGGGGCAACGCACTGGTGGCGTGCCTCCCATAAACTACCCCTCGACAAAGCAGGCGCTGGCTGCTGCTTGCGGACGCTCGCCGCGTGCACCGGTGATGACCCACTGAAGTGGCCACTCGATGGGGAATCGATGCCCCGGCCGCCGCTGCTGTGGTGCACCGGGGCACGGGGCCCAGCCCGGCGGCATTGTGACGGTCACGTTTGTGTTGCTTTCGGCGCGGGGATGCGCAGTGCAGTGCGTGGCGGGCCGGGCCGAGTATGTCCTCGACCGAAACAAAAGCATCCCGTGCACCTGGGAGGACAGGCCAGGAGGAGGCATCGCCCGCGTCAAATATCAGTTACCC